TTTTTTTTTTTTTTTTTTTTTTTTTTTTTTTTTTTTTTTTTTTTTTTTTTTTTTTTTTTTTTTTTTCAAGTCCGTAATTGTCACCGATGGCCGAACAAATGTATACATTGTATTGGCACCCACCTGTAGATCGAGCATGGCCGAGCCGCCGGCGCTGACCTCGGCCGTGCGCGCCTCGGATTGGAGGACGGGCCGCGTGGGCTCGCGCAGCAGCTGGTTGACGGTGCCCTGAACGGTGAGCTCGGCGCTGCAGCTGATGTTGCCGGTGCTGGTCTGAGCCACGCACGTGTACAGCCCCGCGTCCTCGGGCTTGACGTGCTGGAAGACAAGGGCCAGGGTGTCCTCGCTATCCTTGAACAGGACCTTGAATCGCTCCTCGGGATCGAAGGGTACGCCGTCGCGCGTCCACACGAACTTGGGCTCGGCCCCGGGCTCCAGCATGCCCTCCGGCAGACCCGCGAACATCAGCTTCTCGTCCGTCACGCTCACCTCGGCCTCGCAACTCGCCTCGCCGAACCTGTTCTGCGCCACGCAGCTGTACTTGCCAGCGTCCTCCTTCCGCACGTCCGGGATCACGATCTCGTAGAAGCCCCGGTCCGCCTTCTCCCTCACTATCTTCACCCGCTCGTTCTTCGAGTCCAGCAGCACTCCGTCCTTGTAGCTGCACACGTTAGTTGACCGGCAAAACGTGAAAATCAAGTAATTTTTTACGAGTTTAAGAAATTAATCACAAATGATACAACTACTCTGACACAAGTTGAAGCGAGCATCGATAAAGTCTAGAGTTTTTTTTTTTTTTTTTCTTTTGCAAAAAAATCATAAGGTTGCACGTCGACTCACAACTTGAGGTCGGGGTTCGGGTCTCCCTTGACCTTGATCATAAATCTCAGGTACGTGTTCTCCAGGAGCTCCGTGTCCTTGAGCCGCACCAAAAATATCGGCGAGTTCGCGTCCGCTCTGGCTTTTTTCTCCTCGGAAGTAACTAACAATTTTGCGGAAACGTGAATAAATTGTTGAGGAGGGAAAAAAAAAAAAACAATTGGCAGGTGCTTACGCTCTTGAACGACCAGTTGAGCCGTGCAGGTGGCCTGTCCGTCGTCATTGGACGCGCGAGCCGTGTAGATGCCCGAGTCCGACTCGAGGACGTTCTCGATCTTAAGCTTGAAGCTCGCGCCGTCGCTGGTCACACTGACCCGATCGGCCAGCTTGTCGTCCATGGGCTTGTTGTCCTTCAGCCAGAGCATCTTCGACGAGCCGTCCACCGACTGCAAGCTGCACTCGAACGTTGCGCATTCCCCGGCTGAGGAGGCCACGTTGTTCGCACGGTTATTATGAGTTATGGATACCATTTTACGTTTACATTTATTTTACAGACAAAAGCTTATGTTGCATCGAAAGTTACATATATATATTACGTTATGAACTTGTGTGAGCGAAAACTTGGAGCTTATCTGATGATGAGAGTAGGTATTTATTACTATGAATCTCATTATTATTGTGATTGCCGATATTACAAAGATGAATGATACTTTTTCTTCTTCATTTATACCTAAAAATCTTGGTATGTATTACTGATATCTGTATGTATGTATAGGCATATTAAAACATCAAACATTGCATGTATGGAAAGATGAGAAAAAATACGTGCGATCATAGAAGTAGAAACATGAAAAACACAAAAACTGTTACTATATTGAAATGTATGATACATCTAGTAATAACATCTAGTAGTGCTTTTTTTTTTTTTTTTTTTTTTTTTTTTTTTTTTTTTTTTTTTTAGTGGAATATAATTGCTGTTTAATTGAAATCCATGAAAAAGCTCGTAGAAAGTGTCATTTTACAAAAATACGAATAAGAGTTTTTTTTTTTTTTTTAGTAACATGTCAGCATTTATTTGTTATAAACGTCATATTACACTGTAAATCTCAGTGTGTTGAATTACATATATATAGTGTGTATTTTAACACACATAGGCGCGTTATATTTTATAAGCACTTTAAATAAAATAAAAGCAACACCCATAAGTGTGTTTTATTACAATAATTGTAATAAAACGTGCATTTTTAAAGAGTGCATCGAAACCGTTTATTTATCATCTCAGTATTAATTTGTTCAAGTCCAAGAGTTAACATCGTGAACAACGAGTTAGGGTATATACATCTTTGCTCATTTGGCCATTTAATGCTGATGTCTGAAGGATTTTAACAATAATAACTGCTTTTTCGGGATTTACGTGAGAGAAATTTATAGTTGAAAATACACACTTGAAGCGTGTTGGAATAAAACGCCTAGAAACGTGTGAATTCTGTGACGGCGGTTTACACGCTCAAAGTGTATTAAAATAACACACTTGGATTTACAGTGTGTGTACGTATGTTTAAAATGTAAATCTATAATATACACGCATTTGAAACTTTGTAAGTGTTTACACAAATTATAAATAATAATAGCTGAACAACCAAAGTATCAAAACGCATGTATATTTTTTTTTTTTTCTGATTGTGTTATAAGGGAAATATGGGTTCCAGAAAACTGATTTCAATAAAACTTGAAGAAATTATTTTTGCTACCTTACAATGAGAGACAGTAATATCAAATATACATTTTTATACACATTCTGTTGTAAGAATCAAAAGTATAAACAGTCGGATCGACATATGCAACATAAATTAAATTTTAGGTTTTAAATCTCGTGTATAATATTTTATTAAATGTGAATTCTTAAAATACTTTCTCTTATTGTTGGGTACCATAAACCACTTCCTGAAGTTTCATAAAAATTGATATTCTAGAAATCATACATTATAGCTCCTGAGTTAACTAAAGTTCTTGAGAAAAATGTCAAACCTTAATACTCACCTATGGGTAAAATGGAAAATGTGTGAACTTGTAGATGTGCGAGTGGGTAAATATAAATACAAAAGTATAAATCGTAGTGAGAGTAGAAAAATAACAATGAAGAGCGGGAATGATTTTGAATTTCAATGATTAGCGACAAAAGCGAATAATACAACTAAATAGATGTCGCGTGAAATCGAAGCAACGATGACGTTTATTGTTTAGCATACAAATATGTAATCTACACTCAAAAGAAGCCACTGTATGAATAATAAGATTATGCTAGTATAGAGAGCACTATAATTATTTTACTTTCTTTAGTACTATATGTCAATAATAAACAACATTGCCACAACAATTAAACATATGACAACAAAGACAATCTCAATGAAAAATAAAGGCGAAAGAATGGCTGTATACTTACGAAAATGACTTACCCCCTAACGACTTGGAATTTGATATTGAAAAGCTTGAGAATAGTAATTACGAATCATTTTTATAACATTAAACAAAAGCTGTGAAATATTGATTTCTTTTTTTTTAGATAAAAAATTTGATATCAAAATTTTTTTATGCCAATTAATTATGTACAGTATTTTAAAAAATGCAGACCTTACAAATTAACAAAATTTTGTTTAGATACTTTGAAAAAATGAAACATTCGCAACTGTCCTAGCGTTATAAATATAAGCTTACGCTTTCTGGATTTGTGCTCTTATTGTATATTGTTACGTAGGGAAGATGTTGGTAAGGAGGTGCTTCGCGAGAATGATCAGCACAGATTCCTTCAAGAGCTTTATTCAAGATACCGAAATCATAGGCAAGGTAGCACGTGTGTTCCCTACAAAGGCTCGTCGTGTACCGAATAGACTCTCTCCTTGCTCGCTCTTCCCTTCCCTTGGCCCTAGGGCCCCTCGTTATGAGCTTTGAGGAGAGGGAGCTTAGAGTCTCACCTATACTACCGTACGTTACAATATTATTTTATTTTATTTTTAATAAACTGGTGATGATTGGTTTTTGTTCAGTAACTGTATTCGTCATAAGCCAATCCAAAATAATGTTTTTTTTTTTATCGCTAACGTAGTTTTCAAATGTAAATTAATCCAAATACTGTACATTTACGTACAAAAAATTCCAAATTATTTGGGGGTATGTCATTTTCGAAACTTTATCCAGAAGAATAAAAAGAAAAGAGTTATAAATTAACTGATGATTCAGGCTACGCTTGACTTTACCTATGACGTGCAACATAGCCAATTTCGCTCGAGATGCTAGAACAGGAAAAAACAATCTTTTAACATGAAGACAATAAAGCCGCGACTCATCAGTATACGCATTTAATTTAAAAAGTAGGTGCATAAGTATAAATATTGTATCGTGAAAACGATATTTATGTTGGAGTGTGGCAAGACATTTTCACCTTTGTGACAACAATATTCCATTTTTCCGTTATAATTAAAAACGATTAAACATTCGGTGGCAACAGTTTAACGTTGTAAATGATTATTGTGTATACATGGATTATGTTCAAATGTATGTGTGTACGTGTGAACGTGTACAACATGTACCAAGTAGTACTAATCGAGTGTAAAATAATGTATGATAATGGTAATATGGCCTTACGTTCGACTTGGCATCCTTCGATGGTCTTTTGGAACTGCGGCTTGCCGGCCTCGGTGGCCGAGAGCGCCAGCTTGGCAGTCCTGTTGGTGGACGCGACACCTTCGCTGGCTGAGATGCCGATTTGCTGCATGTTCGAGCTCGTCATGCTCATCGACGACGAGGAGACCTCGGTCGCGACTCTACTCTTGCTGCTGCTCGAGAACGAGCTGCTCGTGTACGTCGTCATCGACTCTGCGATCAAAGTATAAGAATATGATAAACGTGCAGCAGCACGGGGGGGGGGTGGTGGCGAGTCGCACGAAATATATTGGTACTCTATACTATGTGTAATATCCGATCACTGGCACATTCGAGTAAAAATATCAATGTCTCTAGTTTATAACGAGTGGAAACAATTCTTTTTTTTTTTTTTTTTTTTTTTACTTACGTTGACCGAACTATGTAACATGTCAACATTCGATAAGAAAGGACAAATTTCCTTTTCTTTTCATTCGATCGTGTGTTTATGTCGGATGTATGTTGAACAATGAACAAATACGTGAACAAGCCACCGAAAAATGATTGATTTCTTTGCCAAAGCGTTTCTTTCATGTGCTCATGAGTTATACATGTGATTACGCATTTTTGTATACGTACACGTGTCATTACGATTCTTGCCAAGTAAATTTTGCACAAGCGACATTAAGATTTGTATTATTAATAGTGAACACAATTTTTCACTCTTCATTGTAAAGCGATAAAGTATACATATTGTTGCTCCACAGTGAAATGCATCGTGTGTGTCGTAAATTTGCTTGTCAAGCGTTTATCGGGTCGATTGGAATTGTTGTTATTACGTATATGGGTGGTATACCTGATATCCTGGTTTCGTGTTCTGTAGTCGAGGCCACAGAAATGGTTATCGTTTCGCCCTCGGAATTCTTAACCACCTCAACTTGATGCTTCTCCAATTTGGCGTGACCTGTATTTATTACAGATTTTGTTTTCCTTGCACAACTACACTCTCACAAAGCTCCGAGCTACGCGGCAAAACACAACACACACACATCAGCAGCTGGATTATCGATTTTAGTCGCAAATCCCTATATACTTTTTCAAAAACATACGTCACTCGAAGCAAAGGTGCAGCCGAGCGTTGAATCATTTTTAGTACTCGGCAGTTATTGTTAACGAGCAGGCGCCTTCAAATCGTTATTGTTTCGTGAAAAAAGCAGCGAACCAAGAAAAAAAAAGCTCACTTTGAAACATATTGCATCGTTTAATAATGTTAGGACTCCTTCAAGTTTTGCCGAAGAAAAGTAAAGATATATTATGTCTAATCGCTTTACTTTCTTAAGATTTATTTTCCTGTTCAGAGAGCACATATTATAAAAATTTTTAATGCATTATGATTATCGGAGATGCAGAGTTATTTTTATGCAAAGTCTCAAACGTGTCATCACTACTTGAAGTAAAAATGTTAAAATTTACAGTATACATATATGTATGCGCACACATTCAATATACAATAACTCTCAATATGTACAATGATGACTTGGCGTTTTTAGTGTAAAATAGTTTGCTTATCTCATCACACAGCCAAATTTAAATAAATATGTGTGTGTGTGTGTGTGTGTGTGTAAGTGTGTGTGTGTGTGTGTGTGTATAGTGCAGAAGCAAAAAACCTCAAGACACAAATCGGAGTAAAGATCGCACACCTTCTGCCTCGGACAGATCTGCGTTTTGTTTCTCCTCCGACACGTCTTCCTGTTTGGATTTTTCTTCTTCGACTTTCACACTCTCGACGACCTCTTTTTTACTCATTCCCTCGTTTTCTTCTACAGTCTCCTCAGATTTGGCTACACACATTTCAAGATTTTTGTTTAACACAAGTGTAACCATAATACGTGCAACCTATGTATATTATCTTTATTATTTTGTCATCACATTTGCGGGTTACAGGTATATACATGCGCAGGTCGATTGGGTCGAGAGGTTGGGGGGTTGGAGGGAAAATCACAGGTGTACGTACTACTTACTGGTGAGAACGTCGTGAGGGGAAAAAAAAGCAATAAAAAAAAAAACAAGTGTCGATTTGTAAAAAATAACTCTCAACATCTGTAGGCACTCACAGTTATTACATTTTTCATCAGAGTAAAAAGCATTGTTTTAACATACACGGCATTGCATATACATTTTTTTATACACGATAAGTGCTGAAGTCAAAAGCGACGATTGGACAGTCAAAAGAATTATTTATTTATTTTCTGTGATATGTGTACGGTTTTTTCAATAGAATACATTGCGTTTATCACAATTTGGGGTTTACTCTCTTGGATTTTTTTATTTATTTAGGAACTCGATAGATTTATGCCATTTAGACATGATTGATTGTCTAAAAATGAACGACTTTCCCTTTGTTTGGAAATAAAAATTAAAAAAAAACATATCGCTCCCAATGCTTTACAACTTTTTTCTCCGATGAAGAAACAAAGAAAAAAAAAAAAAAAAAAAAAAAAAAAAAAAAAAAAAAAAAAAAA